AAGTTTGAGGGGGTAGGTATTTTTAATCTCATTGATACCATCCGCGTCCATTTCTATTGACATGGCCACCGATTTTTCTAGGTTTATCTGATAGCCTGAGATGCGTCAGTATTCCTCTAGGAGGGTCATCAGTCGGGGCAGGGATTCTCTTGGGTTGGTGAGGGTGACCAGGACATCGTCCGCGTATGCGGAGACTTTGAATTCGTCACCCCCTGCTTTGATCCCAGATATGCTCCTGTCTTCCCTTATCCTCTGCAGGAGGGGTTCTAGCGAGAGGACGAAGAGCAGAGGGGAGAGGGGGCAGCCTTGTCTAGTGCCGTTAGCAGGCGTAAATGGGGTCGGGGCTGCTCCCTGTACGTTGGTCTGTGCCCTCGGATCAGTATATAGGGCTTATATGCCTTTAACAAAGTTATCTGGCATGTGTAGGCGTTCTAGCAGCGCGAAGAGGTAGCACCATTGCACCCTGTCGAACGCCTTCTCCGCGTCCAGGGATAGGATCAGAGAAGGCGTCCGGGTCCGCGTCGCCCACCATATGACATCCGCTCCCCTCCTTGTGTTTTCATACATTTGCCGTGCCGGCACAAAGCCGACCTGGTCTAGGTGTACCATGGTGCCCAGGAGGGGGTTTAATCTTGTTGCCAGTATTTTTGCAAAGATTTTTACGTTGTAATTAATTAAGGAGATGGGTCTGTAATTTGCTGCTTCGGTTGAATCCCTTCCTGGTTTGGGTATGAGTGCGATGTCAGCTGTGAGCATGTCTGGGTTAGGATGTCCCCCGTCCATCCATTCGTTGTACATCTTCGTCAGTCTTGGAGTCAGCACGTCTCTAAATGTTTTATAGTAGGAGCTGTCGAAACCGTCCGGTCCCGGGGCTTTGTTACCCTTAAGGGCCGAGATCGCCTTGTCTGTCTCCTCGTCCCCAAGGTGAGCAGGACCTCCGGGTTCGGTCCTGTCATATTCGTCTTTGTTGCGTATTCGGTTACGTCATGTGTGTATTCCCTATTTTTGCTGCTTAGTTCTGGGGAGTGGTTGTAAATGTGTGCGAGGAATTCCGTGAAGATCTGATTGATCTCCGTAGGATTTTGGGTTATCTGACCCTGTTTGTCTCGGATCGCCGATATAGTTTGGAAGTGGGGCTTGGGGTTTAATGCCCTAGCCAGTAGGGTGTCCATCTTATTGGAGCGTTCGTAGTAGAGGCGTTTTTTACAAACTAGGTCTTGCCCGAGGTCCTCAACTGCTGTACCCCTGATTTTATGATGGAGGTCTCTAAGGCCCTGTGTCGTGGGGTTGCGTTTATGACTGGCTTCGGCCCTCCTCAGCGCCTTTTGGAGCTCGAAGAGGGTTTCGGCCCTTTGCTTTTTTCGACGGGTTGCGAGTTTAATGAGGGTGCCCCTCAGTACCGCTTTGTGAGCGGCCCATATCGTGGATTGCGTTAAGTCCGGGTTGTCGTTGTCATCAAAATAGGCCGTGATTTCGCCTAGGAGAAGTTTCTCCGTCTCTGGATCTTTTATGAGTCCTGGGAGTCTGAGAGTGAGCTCTACGTCAGCATGGTCTGACCATGTAATAAGGTTGATACGTGCAGACTGAACCCATGGGATCCCTGTTTGGTTAACTAGGAACATGTCAATACGGGAGTATGTGGAGTGTGCTGCCGAGAAGAACGTGTAATCCTTCACTCCCGGATTGCGCAGCCTCCAGGAGTCAAGTAATTTCGTGTTCTGTATGAATTTGGTCAAGAGTTTGTCCTGGCCCCTCGTGTTCTGCGTCCTATGGCCGCCGGTCGGGGCACTGCGGTCAACCGTATGGAAGGGTGTAGCGTTTAGGTCGCCCCCCAAGATTATGATTCCATACGGTAGAGTATGGATTAATTTGTGAAGCTGTTCCCAGAAGTCCGGGTCTGGCTGGTTAGGTGCATAGACATTAATCAGGTGGTATGTGATGGCGTGTATCGTCCCCGTGTGGATAACGTACCTACCCATAGTATCCGCGCGCGTCATCTGGGTGACAAAGGGGCATTTTTTGTGTAGGAGTATTTCTACCCCGTTTTTTTTTACCATTGCCCTGGAGGAATATGTCCTGGTGTATAGATGGTCTGTTAGTTGGATCCGGGCTGAGCGCATGAGGTGCGTTTCCTGTACAAATGCTATGTCGGTTTTTTGTCTTTTTAATTCCCTCATTAACAAACGTCTTTTGGTCGGAGTATTTAGGCCATTTACATTTAGGGAGGTAATTTTTAGTGTCGCCATACTGTGTGACTCTATGAGAGCCCACCGGACCCCCTACGCTTTGGGTCCGAGACCGCCCCGCCGTGCGCCCCTTTGAGGTTTTGGTGGTACTGTGGCCCGTGCAGGCCTTTGGGTGGGGGGGAGGAGGGGAGGTTGGGAGGGGGTGGTGGGGGGGGAGGTAGCAGGGGAAGCTACCTTAGTCTGGGGACTATTTGGGGAAGAAAAAGTGTCCCGGTCTTATCTAGCTGTGCCGGGTATCTCGGAGGGTGGCCACCCGCTCCACTGCAAAGTGTGTAGGCACGGAGGGGGCAGTCATTCGCCGAGCACCCTGGAATCAGTCCTTTAAGTAAGGTTATCCCTCACCCGAATTTCTAGTCTCTGCAAGGTCTGTGGGTCAGGTCGTCTGTGTGTGTCGCTTCTTATGCATATTTAAACAACAACATAATTTACAACAGACATCCAAGCATGGAATAAGGCATAAGAAAAACAAAAATACAATGCAATACAATACACTTCTGTCCCCTTTTCTTGTGTCTCCGTAATCTACGTTTACTTAGCTATCGCCTCATTATAAGTGTTATGGAGGGGTTGGGTTCTTGTCTTCGCCCTCTTGCTTGCTACCATTTAGGTCTGAGGTCCCTTTGAAACCAGTCGTCCCCAGGTGAGGGAGGGGGCGTTTTATCTAGTGCCGTTGTTGTGTACCTATTCTTAAATCAGTTTTCTAGCTCTGTATATGATGGTGGCGGCTTTTTGCCAAGGGTGTATGGTGAAGTCTAAGTCCCTGTGTGAGGTATTTGTGAGGTAGGGGGCGTGTGCCCTAGTGCTCTTTTCCTGGGACCTTTGACTATATATTTAAGCTAACCTACTCCTTCATCCCCCCTCAGTATGAGCTGTAGTATGCAGCATAGGGTGTGAACTTGCGTGTCTGGCCAGATAAATGGTGGGTGCCTCAGTCCGTTGCTTGTCCTGTTGGTGTATATAGAGGGACACAGGTATTAGGTATTTGGTCCGACTGGCCGGTGGCTTCTTGCGCTTATGTCAGTCGGCAAAGTTCGATTAAGTCTATAGTCTTGGCCTCTGTTAGGCTTTTTCTTTGGCATCAATTTGCCTCTGGTTCGTCGTACTCTCCCTTCCGTCCGTCGCCGTTTTTACAGTAGCATTTCTTTGGGATGTCTTGTCCCTCATTGGAGGTGTCGAGTTTCGGTGCGTCCTTTATCACCCGATGCGTTTTTCTTCTGTGTGTGTCCTTGTGAGATATTATTGTTACTGCAGCTGCTACTTCGGAGTTCTTCGCTTTGTGTTGGTTAGCATTTTCAGTCCTTTTTGTATCGGTGTTTTGGGTTTCCTCATCCTTTTTTTATGTTTAGTTCGTCAAGTTATTTTTTCCCCTCTTTTTTTTTTTTTTTCCTCCAGTGTTTATTATGTTTTGTCTGGAATTGGTGACTTCAGGTTTTTATTTTCTTTACCTTTGGGATTCTTGGTATTGTAGGCTGGGATGTCTTTTTCAGTCAGTGTGTCGCTTTACGTTGTTGGCTGGTTCTTAAAGATTGTGCGTGCTGGGGATTGTAATGTTCCGTCATTTATGGAGTAGTTGATGCACTTTGGGACGAGGGTCTGCTTACATTTGCTAAGGCGCGTTGCCGTCCATCGCTGCACCGTCTCTGGGTATGCTTGGGTGCCCCTTTGGGGGAGGTGGAAGTCCGCCGGGACCTCGATGCCTATCTCTCGAAGGAAGGCTCTGGGGTCCGCCGTGGGTAGTAGCACTGCCGGTCTAGGCCCATTGAATACCAGCATTTTAAAGGGGTGACCCCATGCGAAGTTAAGGCCTTTGGCTCTGATGAGGTCCGCAATGGGCTTCCATTCTCTGCATCTGGTAAGCGTGGCTGGCGCTATGTCCTGGAATAGGTGTAATGTGGCGCCTTCAACTGAATATGTGTGGTGTCTGGCACTTTTGATGATAGCTTCCTTGGTGGAGAAGAAGTGCCACCGTATGATCACATCTCTCGGTGGGCCGTTGGGGGGTCCTCGGGCTCTCAACGCCCTATGTGCCCTGTCAATAGCCCACAGGTGTTCTGGCAGTTGTTCTTTGAATAGAGCAGTTAGCACCCTCTGGATGTCTGTGTCTTTAATCCTTTCTGACAAGCCCTTAATTCTCAAGTTGTTTCTACGTGACCTTTTGGATGCATCCTCTATTTCTGCTTCTAGTTCAGCGACTTTTGCCATTAGGGTGTTGGTGGCGGAGGCTGTTTCATTATGGGCTGTCACCACGTGGTCCATCCTCCATTCTAGTGCCTCTGTGCGCTGCCCCACTGTCTGGATTTCAGCCTTTACCTCGCGGGCCGATCTTTCTATCTCCCCAGCCAGATAGTGCTTCACCTCTGCCAGTGAGTGCAGCATGTCAGTGGTGGTAGCCTGTTGTGGCAGGGCGGTCCAGTCACTGGTGTTCGGAGGGCTCGGGGAGTCTGCGCTCGCGCGGCCGCCGCCATCTTTAGGCGCTTGCGGCCTAGGTGTAGTGAGGAGGTCGACCACGGATGGGGTGCTTTCCCTCTGCTTCTTGCTGGGTTTCTTCTGTTGTGCCATTACCGGACCCTTCCCTCTCGTGTGCCGGGTAGGTTGTAGAGACCTTGGTCGGGTTGTTGCGTCTGGCGTGTCTGTTCGGACCTCTCTGGGTGCAGAGATCTCTGCCTAAGCGGCCATCTCTCTCGGCGGTCAAGCCACGCCCCCCCATCATTGAGTAAATTTTTACCCTGTACCTCACAGTCAGCAGAGACATTCCAACCACCAGCAGCAGACCCTCCCTCCCATACCCTCCCACCTCCTGGACAGCATCCATTTTGAAGCTGCAGTCTTAGTGAGCTGTCCAGGAGGTGGGAGGGTCTGGGAGGGAGGGTATGCTGCTGATTGGCTGGAATGTGTCTGCTGACTGTGAGGTACAGGGTCAAAGTTTACTCAATGATGAGTCCGTGGCGAACCGTTCGTGGCGAACCGTTTGGGAACTGTTCGACGAACCGTTCGGGACATCACTAGTGGCTAGTGTATGTAAGCTAGTAAATAGCATGTTGACATAGCTTGTCACAACACCATTAAAAAAAATCATCAAATCTAGCAAATCAACCTGTTAATATCAATGCCCCTAGTGCTTATTATGTCATTGCATGAAGATTGTACAAATGCTGGAACATCTTTTATTTCCATTACACATCTGCTTGTTTGATCAAACTCTACAAATATTCTCTTTAAATTTAATGTGATAAAAGTCACATTGTCCCCAAAACACCATCTTACAATGCTTCATAAATCCCTGGCTGAATGATTTCATATCAATTTTATGCATGCAGTGTGCACTTAAATTTCTGGTTCAAAATAAGGAAACAGAGTAAACACATCTGCTTGTTCGAATATATTTTATTGTACTTTACATTCCTCACAGTCATTATAAAACAAATACAATTTCAATATTACTATTTTTTTGAGTAAACAAGTATCTTTACATTTGTGATTATGAACACAAATGGAAGGTTGCATGGGGAAACATTTGCATTTTAATTATGGCTTGACCTCGGTTTGCTAACTCAAGATTAATTATAAGCCTTAAAACAAAATTATAATAGTCTACAGCAATTCTATTTACAAAGTATATGGATGAGTATTTGAAGAACTGAAAGTTAATTTAGCCACACACAATGGACAATAGTAAGTAAAAATATTTTTAAAAAATCAATAGATAAATCTAAAAAGAAAAAATAATTTACATGAATTTATTCATTGGTGTCGCATTATAGAAATATTATTTTACACACTATTTTCTCTTATTCCTGTAAAAGCTTTACAGGGAATTAATTTTTTTTAACATGTAATAACAATAAAATCAATTTGCAGCCTGTACTGTAATGTACAGCATCACTAATTCCAATGTATTATTCGGAACGTACTGAATTTGTTCCTTTAAATGGTCTTTTGGGAATATGGAATATATATTTACGTATAGAATTATCTTACATTACATAAGCAATAAAATATAATTATTTTAATTGAGGTGCAATTCAAGCTAAAATTGATTTACTGATTTTATATTACTATTTTTTTTTTTTAGCCATTTGTGCAACACATCATTTTCAAAAGAGATCACAGTTCAGGAGAAACTTTGACCCCATTTAATATTTAATATTTGCTTATTAACACCTTTGAAATTTGTCTTAATAAAATGGTGGGCTTCATACAGATTGTGTTTTTTTAAATGAGAAATTAAGTTTGAGGGGTTCACATACAGTCTATACATAATTCAAGAAACTTGCCAGATGCTCAATCCTACTAGTAAATAATGTCATGTTCCATGTAGTTTGATGTTGCATCAGTTATGAATCCCATGTAGTAATATTTATTATTTTACAATGTTGTTTGAACAATGTCATACACATTACATAAGAGGTAAGATATGTCATGATGTATCATGGTATTAAAATAATCACAGTGACATTAAATTTGTTGCAATCATTGGGAAAGACAATGAGATTTTAGGATCATCTCCCTCCATAGCTTTTTTTTTTTTTTTTGCATGTGATCTCTATCATAAAAAAACACATGCACGGAGACAGTCAAGAAACAAAAACAGTCTTAAAGGATAACTGTCATTTCTCTGTAATGTACACTATTGAATAAAATATTGAACATTACCCATAGCCTGTGTTCACTTCTCATGAACTAAGGTTGAGTAGTTGTCAGGAATTGTATTTAATTTATTACTGGCCCTTTAAGATGGCATGAAAGTAAACACCCCTTGGTTATTTAAACTCCAATCTCCAATACCTAAGTGCATAATTAATGTGTTAATCTGACTGATTGCATCAACTCTTCGGCCCCCCTGGGCCATGTGATCGTGAGATCCTTGCGAGGACCTCGCAATCACATGGACGGCATAGCCGTCCAAGGCATTGCCAGCAGGGGGAGTGCCTGTAATGACAGGTACTCCCCTTGCTGTCTGAAAAAAAAATAATTAAAGTTTAAAACAGTGTAAAATAACATTATATATACTTAGATCATATATATATATATATATATATTTACTATATATATGATCTAAGTATATATATATACACATATACACACATACCCATATATACACATACACTGTCTATGTGTATTTTAATATTAATATATATATATCATTATAAATATATATTAATATCAAAATACACGTACAATGATATTGATTAAATATATATATAATTTTCATTATATATATTTATATATAATATAAAATAAATAAATCTGTAAATACGTTAAAAATGTAATTAAAAAAAATAATTTAAAAAAATAAAATATATATATATATATATATATATATATGTGTGTGTAAATTCATTCTAACTTATTTTAAAATTAATATATAAGTATATGTAAGTATATGAGTATATATCACTATATATAAATAAAATAATTTAAAAAAATTATATACATATATTTATATACACACATATATATAATAATTCTAAGTATATATTTATGTAATAATTTTACATAATTAGGTAATTTTATTAATTACAATTAGCAGGACCAGCCTGACAACCCAGGCCAAAAGTTCAGGGAATTTAATTTGCTCGCACTATATTTAACCCTGTAACTTTCCAAGACACCATAAAACCTGTACATAGGGGGTACTGTTTTACACATGAGACATCGCTGAATACAAATATGTGTATTTTATTGCAGTACAAGCAAACAGTATTATGACATTCACAGATAGAATGTCACGTAGAACTAAACATTTTTTTTTTTTAAATTATTTTCTCCCTTTTTTTATATTTTATTCATATTAAATTATGTTTTATACCTAAATATTTGATGTTAAATGAAGCCCTATTTCTCCTGAATAAAATGATATTTAATAAGTGTGGGTGCACATACTATGAAAGAGGTGAATTACGCCTGAACAGACATATAACGTAAATTCAAGTTTTTGTTTACGTTTTGTTTTGATCACACCGTGCACATTTAGCCCAGTCCTTAAGGGGTTAATAAAGCTCTAAACCACTGTACTACTCTGTCACCTACAAGTCTTTTACTCATAATTCTTACTTGAAGATGGCAAGTTGCAGAGTGGTTTGAGGTAAGTGATAAGTGGTAAGTGATCATTCTGCCTCTGTCTCATGAAAATTTCAAATCCTCAAGCTCCCCACAATAAATCAAACAAAACAATGCCCATTTAGAATTGTATTAAACAGTGTCAAAATATTATTTTCAGTAAGAAGCAGATAATTATTATTTTTTAATTCTCTTTTTTTTTTTTTTGTGGTGCTTGTGAAGAACATCACTTAAGTAATACCATTTCTACAAAGCCAAGGTTAACATTGTGAAGGAACATTGTATGCCAAGGTTTACAGCACCATTTTTGCATATATATAGCATGAGGGAAACAGTTATGTCTTAGGAAAGAATCAAAGCATAACATAGGTACAAGTAGGTAACATAGACATGAATATTGAGGGATTAATCAGAGATACTGCAGTATTTGTGGGTATGACTGTGGGTCTGCACCACTGCAGTAGACTGTCATTTTCGGGTAGACAGTCAACCAACACCCTGACTGGGTAGCATGTCGTGATATAGTAAAAGTTCGCTCATGGGAGCAACAAAGCAGCAACAGGCAGAGCAATCCCTCCGGCCCCCGTTCTGATCAATCTCCACCACTATATGTCTGCAGAGTTGGAGACTTGCTGCGTCTGAGCCCATCCCAGGTGGACAACTGCGTGGTGCCTTAACAAGCCTTGTAAGATTGCGCCGGAGGTGCTGTCCCCCGGACTCCCATAAAAGTGGGTGGTTTGTTGGGGCAACGACCCAGATTGCCTTCAGTGGAGGTGGGTATACGGTGGAAGTAGCAGGAACTGTAGGTGCATGTCCGCTTGGAGCATGCTGCAGACTGTTAGTTGTGGGCAGTTTGTTTCTAGCAGCTAATGTCTCATGTACCTCCTGTTTTGGACAGAGTCGCTCCAGGACGACGTCCAGGAATGTCAGGGACTGACATACTGCTGGATCCATGTGTCTGCTTGATTCGGCGCTGGGCCTCGCGTATCAGGAACACATGGAGCAGTCATTATGTGAAGCGCGGACTGTGAGGTGGGTTGCTGCATTATGCAGGTCTGCAATTTCTCGAGTCCAGCGGAGGCCGGGATGACCGCCACAGGCCCAAAGGGGGGAAGGGGCCTATATGCTTCAGACCTAGGCAGGCCATGAAGTGGAAAATCATCCGCTTCTCCCTTCAACATTCCCGCACCAGGCCTCAAAGCTCATCCATCAGACAGCACTCTCAGCAAACAGGTTTGAAGTTGACTTTCTCAAGCCCTCTGAGATTAGCTTCAGCTGGTGCCAAACTTCAGAGTTCAATTGCTTTTTGAGAGAAAATGCTGAGGAGCCGATGTACAGTGTGTCTTTCCAACACAACGGTCAGGTCCCGCCCCCCCATTTATTTATTTTTTTAAATGCTGGACTGCTAAACTGTCCTAAAATTAACAGACCAAAAATTTGAATTATAGCTTGAAAATCTAATTGAACAGGTAAATCAGAAGCAGGAAAAACAGGTTAGCAAAAAGATCTATGTGACTTTGACAAGGGCCAAATAGTTATGGCTAAATGACTGGGTTAGACAATCTCCAAAACGGCAAGTCTTATGGGGTATTCCTGGTATGCAGTGGTTAGTACCTAACAAAAGTGGTGCGAGGAAGAACAGCTGGTGAACATTGTTAGAGCCATAGATGCCCAAGGCTCAATGATGCATGTGAGAAACGAAAGCTAGCCCATCTGGTCCGATCACACAATACTGAAGCTCAAATCGCTGGTAATAATAGAAAGGTGTCAGAATGCACACTGCATTGCAGTTTTCTGAAGATGTGGCACTTGATCACAATGAAGT